GTTGGATGAAATGTTCTGTAGATATCTGCCAGGTCCAAATGGTCTACAGTGTTGTTCAATCCTGTGTTTCTCTGTTGATTTATTGCCAATGCTGAGAGAGGGGTGTTCAGGTCCCCTATTATTATTGTACTGCAGTCTATCTCCTTTTCTGTATATCTGGGTGCTCTGGTCTTCTTTGTCTCTTTTTATAGTTTTTGGTTTAAAGTCTATTTTATCCAATATAAGAATACCTTTGTCTGCTTGTTTTTGGTTTGCATTTGTGTGGTATATCTTTTTCCATCTCTTCGCTCTTAGTCTGTGTGTGTCTTTACAGGTGAGGTGAGTCTCCTGAAGGCAGAATACAGTTGGGTCTAGCTTTTTAATCCAGTCGGTAAGTCTGTGTCTTTTGAGTGGGAAGTTCAACCCATTTACATTTAGAGTTGTTATCGAAAGTTATTGTCTTATTCCTGGCATTTTATTGATTTTTGTTTGGATGTTTTAAATATCTTTTGTTTGTTTCTTCTCCTGTTATTGTTTGTCTTTGATGTTTGGTTTTTAAAAAAGTTTTATACTGATGTTTCCAAATCATTTATTTAATGCAGCTATTAAATGAGTTTGCATAAACACATTTAAAATTTAAATTTCTATATGGTATGTAAAAGATTCACTTTCATCTGTTCATTTAAGTGAATGAAACTACATTCTGAACTAGGTATGATGTATCATTTTCTTTTACATAAGTTTTATCCTGATTTTCCAGACTTTTTGTTGCAATTCTGGTTTTTAGTGTATTATTATATATGCATTTAAAATCAGAATTTCAGACAAATAGATGAGAATTTCATTTTCAGAGGCTTTACATCAGTGTATTAAACTAAATTCTGAATTATAAATGATGTATCATTGTTGTTTACATAACCAAAACCAAACATACAACAAAAAAAGAAAACTACAGTCCAATATCTTTGATTAACATAGACACAAAAGTCCTCAACAAAATATTAGCAATCAGAATATAGCAGCACATCAAAAGTTAAACACCATGGGCCGGCCCGTGGCTCACTCGGGAGAGTGCGGTGCTGATAACACCAAGGCCCCGGGTTCGGATCCCACATAGGGATGGCTGGTTCGCTCACTGGCTGAGCGTGGTGCTGACAACACCAAGTCAAGGGTTAAGATCCCCTTACCGGTCATCTTTTAAAAAAAAAAAAAAGTTAAACACCATGAACAGGTGGGATTCATCCCAGGGATGCAAGGATGGTCAAGCATATGCAAGTCAATAAATGTGATACATCAACAAAATCCATGACAAAAGCCATATGATTATCTCAATAGATGCAGAAAAGCATTTGACAAAATTTGACATCATTTTATGATAAAGACTCTTAGCAAATTAGGTATAGAAGGAAAGTATCTCAACACATTAAAAGCCATATATGACAAGCCCACTGCTAATATCATCCTGAATGGGAAAAAGCTGAAAACTTTTCCGTTAAGGACAGGAACAAGACCAGGATGCTCACTCTCAACATTCCTATTTAATGTAGTATTGAAAGTACTAGTGTTGGGTTTTTGAGGTAGTAAGATTTAGTTTCTTTCTCTTTTTCATTGGCATTTTTGTTTTGCCAGTGGGTTTTGTTCTTTTTTGTGTATTTGTGGTAGTGATTATCATTTTTTGGATTCCAGGTGCAGGACTCCCTTGAGGATTTCTTGCAGAACTGGTGGTGAACTCGCACAGTTTTGTTTGTCTGGAGAATACACTATTTCTCCCTCGTTTCTGAAGGATAACCTTTTCTGGATAATTCTTGACTGGCAGTTTCTTTCTTGTAGTATTTTTTTTCTCCCTCACCCTCTTTTAGTATTTTTAATATATCATCTGATTTTCTTCTGACCTGTAGAGTTTCTATTGAGAAGTCTGCTGTTAGTCTGATTGGGGCTCCCTTATAGGTGACTTGATGCTTTTCTCCTGTTGCTTTTAGGATTCTCTCTTTGTCTTTGAGCTTTGCCAGTTTGACTGTGTGTCTTGAAGAGGATATTTTTGGATTGAATCTGATCTGTTTTGGGATCTTGAACCTCCTGGATCTGAAGATCCATGTTTCTCCCAATTCCTGGGAATTTTTCCATTGTTATTCTATTGAATAGGTTTTCAATGCCTTTTCCTTTCTCCTCCCCTTCTGGAACACCCATGATTTGGTTGCTTGTGTGTTTAAAGTTATCTGCTAGTTCTCTTAGATTTTCTTCATTTTTTAAATTATTTTTTCCTTTTTTTTTTTTTTTTTGTCTGCCTGGCTGCTAGTTCTCTTAGATTTTCTTCATTTTTTAAATTATTTTTTCCTTTTTTTTTTTTTTTTGTCTGCCTGGATTATTTCAAAAAGACTATCTTTGATATCAGAAATTCTTTCTTCTGCTTGTTGTAACCTGCTGCTTAAGCTTTTAGTTGTGTTTTTTATTTCATTGAATTAATCCTTCAGTTACAGGAGTTGTGTTACATTCTGTCTTAAGGTATTAATCTCTTTGTAAATGTCCTCCTGCATATACTGGATATTTTTTCTCATTTCATTATTTTGTCTAACTGAGTCTTATAGTATCTTATTGAGTTTTCTTGAGATTGTTGCTCAGAATTCCTTTTCAGTCATTTCAAGGGTTTCCTGGTCTATTGGGTCTAGTTCTTGAGAGTTACTGTATTCCTTTGGTCGTGTCATATTTTGTTGGTTTTTCATTTTTCTGTTATCTCTGTGTTGATGTCTGGTCATCTGGTAGAGAAGTTGCTGCTTCTGTGACTCTGGAATGGGCTTTGAGGAGAGAGACTCCCCCCTCTTTTTTTTAAAAAAAAAAGATGACTGGTAAGGGGATCTTAACCCTTGACTTGGTGTTGTCAGCACCACGCTCTCCCAGGTGAGCCACGGGCTAGCCCTAGAGACTTCCTCTTTTTTTAGTCTCCACTGGTGAGTCTCCTTGTGTCAATGCAGTCAGGTGGGCAGCAGGTCACCTGTCTGGTGGCTGTGGCTGCTACTGTGGCAGTGAGCCACTCTTGCAGTGGCAGTGGCTGTGGTGGACCACCTGATTGGAAGTGGTGTTTTCAGCATGTTCCTGCCTTCTGCTGGGTGGTGGGTGATGCCCTTGGCTACAACCTACAAAATCAAGCATGCTGCCTTCTATCTAGCAGAGAGTGCTGCCCGCAGCTCCTGGCTAGAACCCCAGGTATGCTCCTGCTTTCTGCCAGGTTGTGAGGGCTGCCCACAGCTCCTGCCTTGGATCCTGGACATGCTTCTGCCTTCCACTGGGTGGTGGGGACTGCCCACAGCTCCTGCCTAGGACCCTCCAACAGTTTATCTTTGTATTCTTTCTTTTTATTCTCATCTTATTTCCATTTCTTTAATCATTTAATCCATTTATTCAGCATTTAATTATTGAATACTTATTATATTCTAACGGTTGTTTGTACAGTCAATGTGCCTAGCAGTTTATTATTGGTATTTAAAGGAAGGACTTAATTAGATAATATTATCTGGAATACAATTTTGAGGAAGTGACTTTTAATCTGAGACTTGGATGAAGATGAAGCCAGCCATACTAAAAAATCTAGTAGAAAGAATTCTTGGCAGAAAGAACAGCCTGTAAAAAGTTAAGACAGGAAAGGCTTTGGCATATCCTAATTGCTGAAAGAAGGTTAGTGTGGCTACAGCATAATGAATAAAAAGGAAATGGACTAAAATAGCCTTATATTCTCATGGTAAGGGGTTGAATTTTTAAAATTTCAGTTCAATGGGAAGCTGTAATCGTGTGGGTATAGGTTAGGCTACGTGTGACAGAAACCCAAATATATAGAAGTTTAATTTTCTCTTGCATTAATGTTCTAGTGGGAAGGGTATCTCTGCTCTACAATATCATCATGTGTTACCTCTCCCCCAGGGTGACAGAGATGCAGAGGATTACTCAAAAGCTCATTTCTTCTGAGTAGTGAGAAGCTCCAAAGGGGTTGATTTCCACAAACTCTCAAGAGAGAGGCATTTCTTGGAAAATTAACACTGAACTGGGGTCTTCTCTCAGTATTTATTCTCCAGGCCAGAAAGTTACAGAAAAGAAACATAGGTGGTTACAAAAGAACAGTAAGATAATTGTCATGGCAACAATGATTAGCTTTGGCCTGCACCAAGGACATCTGCCTTTAGAGCCAGAAATTTTGTTGTGTTTCAGTTCTTTATCTACAACAGAGACTTTAGCCTGGAGAAAGTTTCCAGTCTTTTGCAAGCTTAACATTTCTATGTGTAATTTTTAAAAGGCTATACCTGAAACTACAGGGCCTTGGAAACTAGGCCCTGTGAAATACATTTGCTTTATTATGTTAGTATACTTCACAATCATGTGACTGACATGACACCAAATCCACATTGCCATCAACTTTGTTGAAGAAGAGGGTGAATAAGTGATATAGGTCTTGGGCCACCTGGCTCTTAAGGAATGTTCTCAGAAGCTACTACATAATACATTTGTATTTCTTTAGGCAGAAGCCAGTTACATGGAGTACCCAGCTGCACAGGAGCTTGGTAAATGCAGTGTTTATATTGGGCAGCTTTATTCTCAACTAAAAACCTTGGGTTCAATCAATATAAAAAAAGGGAAGAATAGATATTTGAGGACAACTAGCAGTCTTCCACATAAGCCTTTGGCCTGGTGGAGAGTATTAAACATACAGACTCTTGTGGATTCTGATTCAGTTGATCTAGAATGTTTCCTAAGCATCCATAATTGCAGCAAACTCTGAAGGTGATTCAGAGACAGATAAAAATTTCAGCACCATTAAATTGACTTATTTCCCTGATTAACTCTCTCACTTTTTCTCAAAAGCTCTCATTTCTCTGCTTTCCTTAGCCTTTTTTCATTCAATTACATGACTATTTAAAGCTCTTCAAGCCATTTATTGTGTGAATTATTTTCAGTTATCTCTCATTTCTATCATAGACATTTTATTTCTCTTGTAACTCAAAACTTAGAATTAAAATATATTTCTTATCTTTCAGACTTGGCATCCAGGGATGAGCCCAAGAAGTTATCTTCAAAAAGGGACATTTATGAAACAGAATCATCCCAATGGGTTTTCATGGAACAATTTAAAAGCCATAGTCCTGAGGGATCCATTTTCAGAGATATTTGGGAATGTAAATGTCATTTTGAGAGACAGCAGGGATGGCAGGAGGGCTATTTCAAGAAATTTATGATCAACCATGAAAATTTGCCCATTTTTAGCCAATATACTTTACTCAGTCAAGAATTTTATAATAGAGAGAAAATCTCTGAATGTAAAAAATGTAGGAAAAACTTGAGTTACCATTTATTCTTTAATCACCACAAAAACACCCATTCTAAAGGAGAACTTTCTGAATGTAAGGAGTGTCCAGAAATTGTTAATATACCATTCCTTATTAGCCAACAGAGAATTCAAAGTGGTGACAAATGCAATGAATATAAGGAATGTTGGAAGGCCTTTATTCATTGCTCACAACTTAAACATCTTAGAATTCAAAATGGAGGAAAACGCTATGAATGCAAAGAGTGTGGGAAGGCCTTTAATTATGGCTCAGAACTTACTCTACATCAGAGAATTCACACTGGTGAGAAACCCTATGAATGTAAGGAATGTGGGAAGGCCTTTAGACAGCGATCACAACTTACTCAACATCAGAGACTTCATACTGGTGAAAAACCCTATGAATGTAAGCAATGTGGGAAAGCTTTTATTCGTGGCTTTCAACTTACTGAACATCTGCGACTTCACACTGGTGAGAAACCCTATAAATGTGAAAAATGTGGAAAGACATTTAGGCATCGCTCACACCTTACCATACATCAGAGAATTCACACTGGTGAGAAACCTTATGAATGTAGGGAATGTGGAAAGGCCTTTAGCTATCACTCAAGCTTCTCTCACCATCAGAAAATGCATTCTGGGAGGAAACCTTACGAATGTAATGAATGTGGGAAGGCCTTTTGTGATGGCTTACAACTTACCCTACATAGTAGGATTCACACTGGTGAGAAACCCTATGAGTGTAAGGAATGTGGGAAGACTTTTAGACAGTGTTCACACCTCAAAAGACATCAGAGAATTCATACTGGTGAGAAACCTCATGAATGTATGATATGTGGTAAGGCCTTTAGACTTCATTCACACCTTACTCAACATCAGAGAATTCATACTGGTGAGAAACCATATGAATGTAAGGAATGTGGGAAAGCCTTTAGCTATCATTCCAGCTTCTCACATCATCAGAGAATTCATTCTGGAAAGAAACCTCATGAATGTGGGAAGGCCTTTAATCATGACTTACAACTTAATCTACATCACACACTTCATACTTTCCTCCCTCCCCATCCTAGTCTATCATGAAGTTATTTTTTAAGATACACATTCTTTTTGTTTTCTTTAAAGGAAAAGTTTATAAAATACTGTGTTTCATTAATTCTTTTCATTTTTTCATTGATTTATTTCAGTAATCCTTAAAAATGTTTTTGTTCAAGTGGGAAAAAGGACAAGTAATTAAAGGGTAAAATTTGCTTTGGTTTCAATGTTGTTTCTGAGTTGCTATTGTATTAACCACTATAGGAAATAAATTTTCTAGAATTATATGTGTTCACTGAAACCAGTGAAGTATTGCAAAAATAAAATGAAAACAATCTCTTTCCCTACCACAAATCCCTGAGACAAACAATATGTGTGTTATCCTTTATGCTCAAACCTGCACACATAAAAGGTTTGTTGCATGTGTGTGAAAGAGGTTTCACCCCCTGTAGTGATACATGGCACGGTGACTTGCCCTTGTCATTTAGTAAATAATCATGAACATTTTTCTAGGTCAGTGCATAAAGATCTAATTCAGTCTTTTTAAAGTTTCAGAAGATTTCTAGTTGGGATATGTCAGGATTTTGACCCATTCCCTACCATAGACAGTCAAGTTGTTTCTACTTCTTTTTCATCCAAACCTACCAAGGAAGAAATATTCTTACACGGTTATTTCTTTTGTTTCAACTGGGTAGGTTTCCAACAGTAGGATTGAAGAATATCTGGAGCATGTGCATGTATGTGTGTGTGGACAGTCAAGTTGTTTCTACTTCTTTTTCATCCAAACCTACCAAGGAAGAAATATTCTTACATGGTTATTTCTTTTGTTTCAACTGGGTAGGTTTCCAACAGTAGGATTGAGGAATATCTGGAGCATGTGCATGTATGTGTGTGTGTGTGTGTTTGTGTGTTTTGATATTGCATTAATCTTTTTTTAAATGCTTCAAGTTTTTTGATTAGGTAATAAAAGTATGTTACAAAACTCAAAAATTACCAAAAAAAAGTATAGTGAAAATGAAATCTTCCTTAATATCCAGTCCTATAGCCACTTACTTTCCCTCCATAGGTGCAACCACTGCTTCAATTTGTTCTGTATTCTTCCAGGAATAGTCCGGGTAAATTTCTTAAATTCCCTGAACAAAAGTGAATTAATCATAATCCTTGATTTATGATACATTCTCATCATTGATCCACACTTGGCCCACTTTCATTTATTTTTAATATATTCCAGGAATTTTAAAACATTGTGCCAGCTGTCAGCAACAAATCCTTCATTGCCTGCTCTGCAATATTGGAACAGAGCTCTGTAAAAATGTTCCTTCTTTGCTAGCTGACATGATGTTAAGCTTTGTCAGTAGAGTGCTGGAGGGAACCTCTTCCTGTTTTTTTTTCATTCTTGTCAGGCTCCTGTGTGCATACAGCTTGGTCAGCGTCTGGCTCCTGTAGTGTGCAACATCCAGCAGCACAACTTTCCAGGAACTTACACTCCACCATTCACTGAAACATGATTATTCCTTTTCAAGAAGACATGGATCTTGCCTCTGTTGGGGAGGGGGCTATTTTGAGTTTTGTACTTCAGCTCATACTTTACTTCCCTGGGATCAACCATGCTACCAGTTTCCTTTGTATTCCATGTAAAAATTTTAAGTCCTTTGGAAAAAAAAAGCAACCACCACCTTCATTAACATTGTATTACAGAATAGATTTATTTATATTTATACTTTAGATTTTTTTTAACTTCCTGAATCCAAGAGTTCACATCTTTCCTTAGTTCTAGAAAATTATTGGCTGTTACCACTTAAAATCTTCTTCTCCCTCATTCTGTGCCCACTTCTCCCCACTCTCTCTTTCTATCCTCTTGATCGTGTGTTGTCTTCCCAAAAAGTCTTTTGGTTATTTGTCCAACTGTACTGTCAGGAACAGATGTCCTTTTGTGTACATTTTACAACTTTACACAATTTGCATTTTGTGATACAATCCAAAATTTGTTTCATTAAGTCAATATGTTCTTGTGATTTAGTCATTTGGTGATTGCCAGGGGTTAAGGAGGGAATGGGTGTGGCTATAAAAGGGCAACATAAGAAATTTTGTGATGGAAATGTTCTGGATCTTGACTCTTTCATTGTCAATACTGTGCTTATGATGTATAATTTTGCAAGATATTATCATTGGGAAAAACTGGGTAAAGGGTGCATGGGATCTTTCTGTATTTATTGCAACTGCATATACTCTAAAATGAGCTCAAAATAAAAAGCTGAATTTTCAAAAGTGTAGAGAAGCTCCCATTTCAGACAAATATGTGGATTTTAGTTATCAATCAATTTATTGTTAGATAGAACAAAGGATTTTATCATGCTTCCCAAAGTGATTCTGAATTACTAGTGATTAGGTTGTCTTTTATTAAAAGAAATAAGATTCGGGCCAGCCCGTGGCTCATTCGGGAGAGTGTGGTGCTGATAACACCAAGGCCCCGGGTTCGGATCCCATATAGGGATGGCCGGTTAGCTCACTGGGTGAGCGTGGTGCTGACAACACCAAGTCAAGGGTTAAGATCCCCTTACTGGTCATCTTTAAAAAAAAAAAAAAAAAGAAATAAGATTTATTCACAGGCAGTTTAAATCATGTCTTTCGGGCCGGCCCGGTGGCGCACTGCTACAGTGCGCCGCTTGGGAAGCGCAGCCGCGCTCCCACCGAGGGTTCGGATCCCACATACAGACTGGCCGCTCACTGGCTGAGCGAGGAGCGGGGGCAACACCGAGGGTTGCGATCCCGTAGCCGGTCCCGGTCCGGTACGGGCGCAACACTGAGGGTTGCGATCCATTGCCAGTCACGAAAAAAGACAAAAAGACAAAAAAAAAAAAAAAAAAAAATCATGTCTTTCATATGGGTTTTAATGATCCTAGATGAATTTTGCTGATATCAGAGGTAATTCATACTACAATGTAAATTCAAAATAACTTGGGAAAAACATTTTCCGGCTCTTTACACTACCAAAAGTGGCCCAACAGTTGCAGCAACACTTTTGTCTGCTACCAGCTTTCATGTACCCATACTCATTGCCCAGATTTTTGTATTTAATACTAATATCTACACTAAAAGAACAGGACACCCCAGAAAGTTGTTGATTACTGTCTCATGGCAAGAAAAAAAAATCAGGATGATGCGGAACATTGTGTTGTGGCATGGAAAAAAATACGCTCAAGGTCATTCCTGTTTCTAACATGCACATTGGAGCCAACTTGAAAGGTCATCATCCATTGGCCATATTTTGGCAATTTTCACATCCATCAAATAATATAATAGTTTACTGAAACAAGTTGAGTATGTGTTCATAATCATATGCAGAAGAAAAATAAAAGTTCATAAAAGGTAGTTGTAATCAAAGAGTGAATGAATATAGTGTGTTTGTTTTATTTTTAATTTCCACAAGAAGGGTTAGGTTAATGTATAGTTATCTAATTTCTGCCATTAATATTTTGTCTGTTTAAGAACAGATAGATAATTATTACTTTTTTTTTGTCTTTTGTCTTTTTTCCGTGTCCGGCAATGGATCGCAACCCTCAGTGTTGCCCCCGTACCGGACCGGGACCGGCTATGGGATCGCATCCCTCCGTGTTGCTCCCGCACCTCGCTCAGCCAGTGAGCGGGAACCGGTCTGTATGTGGGATCCGAACCCTCGGGCGGGAGCGCCACCGCGCTTCCCAAGCAGCGCACTATCCAGTGCGCCACCGGGCTGGCCCAGATAGATAATTATTTTAATGTATGTAAGCCACGAAGCATAAACAGAAAAGTCTAAATTAGTCAAGTAGTTCTTTTGGGGGGCAAAGCAGAAAAAGATGGCTGACTGGAAGGACCCACCACTCGTTTCTCCTACAAAGACAGAGAATACATTGAATATGCAGCTACACTTGAATGAAAATAACTAAAGGAGAGAGCTGGAACACATCAAAGGTGTAGCAGAGATGCTGATGAGTGCAGAAATTCAGGATAGCCCCATGGGGAATAGAAGAAAATTCCTGGCCTCCACTACCCCCATCCCCCAGCCAGGAGGAGCAAGGATCCAGAGAAACTTTTACCTGCAGAAGAGAGGTGAGTGAATGTGGCACCACCACCCAAACCACAGGGGAATTGAACTGCCCGTGTGGGCTGTGTGCCTGGTGTGGGGAGTTGCTGAGATCCCATGCAACTGCATTAATTGATGAGGGAGTTCATGCTGAGCTGCCCCCACACTTGGGTCCGAGGTGGCTGCAGTGGCTACCTTTTTGAGATCTGACCCAACAGCTGAGTGCATTTTGCTTTGAGGTCCAATGGCCCCAGTGGTTTTTCAGTCCTGAGGCTCCATCGCACCAGGTTGCCTACACCCACGTGGCATTGTGCTCCCTGGGATCAGGAGGTCCAGTGCAATGAGTGGGCTACCTTCAGGACAGAGAGGGTTGATGTGCACACTTTCCAGAGCCAGAAAACCAACTAATCAGGCTTACTTGCTGGTGGCCCTTGCAATTCTCACAAAATTCTCACAGCAGCACAGAGTTGCTCTGGGTCCCCAGAAGACAGGTGTAGACCCATGCACTCCAGTAGGGAGGCAGTGGAGGACCCACAAGCTTCTGTCGGGGCACTGACCCCTGCCTGCAGCACCAGTGAACCCACCCATGGCTGCCTACCCGAGCAAGGTAGGCGCAGAGGGACCCAGAATTGCTCTTAAGGACACAGGGCACACACTTCAGATCCTGGGAGCTGACCAATCATGGCCTACTGCCATTGCCAGCTGCCCTTCTTTGGTGAAGCACCCTTCAACTCTCAAAGCCATGCTAAGTCACTAGTTGGCTCAAGAGGACCCATGTAGTCCTGTGCACCCAGCAGGGAGGCTGTGAAGCACCCATACTCCTCTCTCAGAGGCATAGACCCCCACTGTAACACATGTGAGCCCTCCCAGGTCTGCCTGCCCCAGCTACAGAGAGACCTAGTGCCTCTTTGGGGCACAGCAGGCTGCCCACAGCTCCAGCAACTGCTCATGGGGAAGCACACCCCAGCTGGGGAGCTCCTCAGTGACCCAGTGCCTCTCTTAGGGTCCA